AGGGACTGAGGAAGGAAGAAAGCAGGATGGAGAGCCAGAAGGAGACCTGAATGAGGCACATGGAGCCGAGAGACACATGAAGAAACTGCACTTGCCTTTTGGTCTTGGACTGGTTGAAACAGATGTGGGTGAGAGACCCTTGGAGAGGATAACAATGGCAGCTTTCATCTTGATTTTGATTTTGCTCTTTTCCTTCCAGACCTGTCTGGTTGTTTCTGATCCTTTTCTGTGGGTCACCACTGAAAGGTGCTTAGGACTTGTGGCAAGCTTTTGGGCCTTGCTCTGGGCCAATCCTGCTTGGGTGGACTTTTACCCACAAGGGGACGGGTAACTTTGGGTGCTTGATTTAGAGACTATAATCTTTGCCCTTCCTGTGTTGTTTACTAATTGCATTAAAGTTCCTTTCCATTAAAGTCTCATATGTTTTGTGTTGATGAGGCAGATGGCAGAACCTATTTAGAGCAGGCAGGTTTGCTGGGTCTGGGCTGCCCCTCTCCCTGCCCTGTAACAGAGTGAAGAAAAAGGCACTCTCATACATGCTGGTAGGATAGCATCAGGGTATAATCTTTGGAGAAGAACACTTGACAATGCATATTAAAATTTAAAACCTGGGCCTCCCTGGTGGTGCAAGGGGTTAAGGCTCAGCACTGTGAAGCTACTGGCAGCCACTGCAGCACAAGTTCCATCCCCAGCCAGGGAGCTACCCACATGGCACAGCAGACCTTTCCTGTCTCACCTGCTGCTCCCCTTAGCAGTGTATTTCAGTGGATCTGCCTGTTCTGCTCCCCACTCTGTCTCTGGTGAATCCTCTCACCATCATCCCCACTTCTGGCCTACACCATCATCCTCACTTCTGGCCTATACCCCAGCTCTTGTATGCGTAAATAAATAAAATAAATCTTTAAAAAAAAATTAAATCCTGTAGCCTAGCAATTCCTCTTCCAGGAATTTATCTTGCAGAAAAAATATGTACAGGGATGTTCACTTCAGCAGCATCATTAATCAGAAAAACTGGAACCCGACCCAAATGTCCATTAGTAGAAACTGGTTAAATAAATTATGGTACAACTATACTACAGAATACCATGGAACTGTTTAATAATAGGGTGGGTCTCTGGAGTTTAACAGAATAAGGTAGAGTCTAAGTACTGCCAGGAAAAGAGTGAAAGGTACATTGTTAGCTGAAAAAGGCAATTTGTAATAGTATTTTTAAACAAAAGTAACACTGGTATATGCAAATTTTTTTTAAATACAGGAGATATATTCTAAATTGAAGATAGGCTTAAAGAATTTTATTGTATGGGGCCTCCCCAGTGGCGCAGTGGTTGAGCGTTGGTTGCGAAGCTACCCGCAGCCTCTGTAGCGCCAGTTCAATCCCTGGCAGCTCCCCGGCCACTGGGTGAGGGTCCCACATGGCGCGCAGACCTCTCCTGCTGCCCGCTGCTCCCCTCAGCAGTGTACTTCAGTCCTTCTGCCTGTTCTGCTCCCTGCTCTGGCTCTGGTGAATTCTCTCACCCTTCCGCGCTTTTGACTGTACCCAGTGCTTGTATAAATAAATAAATAAATCTTAAAAAAAAAAAAAAATACATAAACATCTTTAAAAAAAAGAATTTTACTGTATGTACTTTATGTTTCTAAAATATTGGCTTTTTAAAATAAAAATAGTTTTTTGGGGGAACTGCCTGGTGGCGCAGCAGGTTGAGTACAGTGCTATGAAGCTGTCCGCAGCCTCTGCCATGCGGGTCTGATTCTCCACTGGCCAGGGAGAAACCCACAGAGTGCGGCAGACCTCTCCTGTCTCGCCCACTGCTCCCCTCAGCAGTGTTTTCCGTCGTTCTGCCTGTTCTACTCCCTGTTCTGTCTCTGGTGAATTCTCTTGCCCTCCTGCACCTATGCCCTGTACCCCACTTCTTGTGTAACTCAATCAATCAATCAATCTTTTCTTTTAAAAGATTTATTTTATTTATACAAGAGCCGGGGTACAGACCAGATGCGTAGGAGGGTTAGAGGATTCACCAGAGACAGAGCTGGGAACAGAACAGGCAGATTGACTGAAGTACATCGCTGAGGGGAGCAGCAGGCGAGACAGGAGAGGTCTGCTCTCCATGTGGGTTGCTCCGAGGCCGGCGGGGATCGAACTGGCACTGCAGAGGCTGTGGACAGTTTCACAGTGCTGCGCTCAACCACCTGCGCCACCAGGGAGGCCCAATAAATAAATCTTTAAAAAAATATTTTGGGGGGGCCTCCCTTGTGGTGCAAGGTCACAGCACTATGAAGCTATCCACAGCCTCTGCAGCACAAGTTCCATTCCTGGCCAGAGAGCTACCCACATGCTGCAGCAGAACTCTCCTACCTCATCCGTGGCACCCCTTAACAGTGTATTTCAGTCAGTCTGCCTGTTCTGTTCCCCATTCTGTCACTGGTCAGTCACTGGTGAATCCTCTCACCCCCCATACCTCTGGACTGTACCCCAGTTCTTGCATGCATAAATAAATAAATAAACCTTTAAAAAAAATAGGGCCTCCCCTGGTGGCGTAGGCAGTTGAGCGCTGCGGTTAAATCCCGGCTGGCCGGCGAGGGTCCCACATGGCGCAGCAGACCTCTCCTGTCACGCCTGCTGCTCCCCTCAGCAGTGTATTTCAGTAGATCTGCCTATTCTGTTCCCCACTCTGTCTCTGGTGAATCCTCTCACCCTCCTGCGCATCTGGCCTGTACACTGGTTCTTATATAAATAAATAAATAAATAAATAAATAAATAAATAAATAAATAAATAAATAAATAATTTTTGTTTTGTAATCATAAAAAGTAAAGAAAAATCATCTTTATGGGCCTACTAGCTTCCCCCTAAAGGTTTCTTAAGATAACTGTGAGTTTATTTTAAAGGCTTCTCACCAGGGAGTCATATTATATTGGTTTTATCTGTCTGATGCTTTCATCTTTTTGTATTTTAGATTATGAATTCCTCAGGTTCAAGCACCATCTATTTCTTTTATCCCCAAAATTTAGAACTGCTAGGACACAGGCATTGCATGACTAAAATAAAGGGGGTGATGCCAGGTTTTGATTTTCTATTTTGATGAAAGAGTTGGTCTTTTTTTACACTGTCAAAGAACAGAACCATGAATCCTGTTTCACAATTTACACAACTTTGTGTAATGTGTGTACTTTTGACAGTTCGAATATCTCTCCTATGGGTTCAACATTTGTCTTCCCCTGGGTATTTGAGAGGGGAAGGGAATATATCCGTTTTTAAAAAACAGACCTGGGACTCCCCGGTGGCGCAGTGGTTGAGCGCTGGGTTGCGAAGCTGCCCGCAGCCTTTGTAGCGCGGTTCGATCCCCGGCCACCAGGCGAGGGTTCCACATGGAGCGCAGACCCCTCCTGCCGCGCCCACTGCTCCCCTCAGCAGTGTACTTCGTCAGTCTGCCTGATCTGCTCCCTGCTCTGGCTCTGGTGAATTCTCTCACCCTCCCACGCTTCTGACTGTACCCAGTGCTTGTATAAATAAATAAATAAATAATCTCCAAAAAAATAAATAAATAAATAACAGACCTGATCAAAAAACAAAAAATGCACAAAGGAGTACAAAGTAACTCTCCCTCAACCACGAGGGAGAAGACAACCAGAATCCAGATCTGTGTGTGTGTCCATACCTGAGTATGATGCATACCATGTGCATGGTGCTGACCAGGCCTTTCTCACCTAACACATGCTCTACCAAGTTGTTTCCCTGGGCCTAGGCCAGACAGTTAATCATACACACCAGGACACGTTAACAAGACAAAGGCTAAGAAGGGTGAATGGGAGAGCTGGGCCTTGCCTGACCTCTGGCTCACCACATGCAGATAAGGGGTCACAGAGATGTCAGTTCCTCCACAAGATCCTTACCAGGAGTCCCCAGGGCTCCCTCAAACTCAGAAGGGACCTTCAACAGCACACCCCCCAACATGGCAGTGGAAAGGAAAATCAGGAATCAGTACACTGCAAAGAGTGATGGTGGGTATGGTGTTATTAAAACTTTTAAATGAGGGGCCTCTCTGGTGGTGCAAGGGGTTGTTTCAGCACTATCAAGCCATCAGCAGCCACTGCAGCACAAGTTTGATCCCTGGCCAGGGAGCTACCCACAAGGTGCAGTGGACCTCTCCGTCCTTGCCCGCTGCTCCCCTCAGCAGTGTATTTCAGTAGCTCCACCTGTTCTGCTCCCCAGCTCTGTCTCTAGTAAATTCTCTCACCAGCAGCCCCCTTGCACCTCTGGTCTACACCCCAGTTCTAGTATGCATAAATAAATTTTAAAAAGCCCACAACTTTTAAATGGGTAAACTAAGGCAAGTCTTACTCTCCCACAGGATGGAAGTCTCTCTCGGGTTAGCCCACAGGGAATGCCCTTCCTTCTGGGGAAGACATTTTTTTGCCTTCTTTGACTTTCTTTCTTTCAACTTGGACCATCCTGCGGCTCCTTCCACCTTAAGAAGCAGCAGATTCTGTGGTGTTCTTGTAGGTACAATGATACGGGTGTGCTCAGCATCTAGAGAAAACATATCCCGTCCTACAGGGCTCTCTGTGCCCTGGCATTTTGAAATCCAAGGAGACAGGTAGTCTATGTGCTCCCTGAAGTTTTTCATTCAGTTCTGGACAAAGGAAATGGTTAGGGTGGGAGCAATTCCAAGGGAGGTTTGTTTTTAGGTTGCACTGTTAGCCAGAGCTGCCATGGAGAAGAGAAGACAAAGTGTGCCTGTCTTCCCTGGACACATGGCCTAAGCCAAGGACAGCAGGCTGGAGATGGGCTCCAGGAGAAGGACAGTCATGCTCTGCTACGGTCAGGCCAGCTCACAGGACCTCCCCCACTTGGGAGACCTGGACTGGTTTTGCTGCCAGGGGTCCTCTGCTTGGGATGTGCAGGTGTACATAGGTGAATGGAAGGCAAAGAAATGGAAGCCAATAAACTCTAAGTTCACAAGGAGGTTACTGAAATAGAGATCTTAAAAAAACTGATACTTACTGTTAATGAGGTGAAAGTCATACACATCCCACCAAAGCCATTCAGAGACAGGGAGATGAAGATGAGCACAGACAGAGCTGTAAGGAAACAGAAAGCTCATGAGTGGGGAGCCACAGGTGAGCACCAGGGAGCACCTAGCCCAGGGCCTTGCAGGGAGCAGGCTCCAAACAAATGCAAGGTGAGTGAATGACAGGCCACCTGGGTGCAACAGCAACAGCATCTTACTCACACCCCTCTTTTCTGTTTTATGGAGTTAGGACCCTTGCAAAAGGTACATCTCTATCCTCCCTTCTCCACTAACCTGAGCAGCAAGGGAGAGGCTGAGAGGAACTGTTTCATTGAAATAAAATATAGATAACCCCAAATCAGTAAATGAACCTGGTTAATTTGGATGAAACCCAGGTTCTACTTTGGTGTTTGTTCTAAAAGTTCTCAAGGGCCTCCTTGGTGGTGCAAGGGGTTAAACCTAAGCACTATGAAGCTATCCACAGCCACTGCTGTGTGAGTTCGAGCCCCCGCCAGGGAGCTACCCACAGGGTGCAGCAGACCTCTCCTGTCTCATCTGCTGCTTCCCTTATCAGTGTATTTAAGTCAATTCACCTGTGCTGCTCCCCACTCTGTTTCTGGTGAATCCTCTCACATATCCCCAACCCCCGCTGCACCTCTGACCTGTACCCCAGTTATTGTATGTATAAATAAATAAATCTTGAAAAAAAACCAGCTCTTGAATTGACAGCGCCACCTAGACAAGGTTGGGAACCAGGTAGCTCCAACTCCATTCAAGTGTTGGCTAGGGATGCCTGGAGGGGACACAGTTCACTAGTTCTGTACCCACCCTTGCACCCGGCCTAGTTCCTAGCACTTGTCTCCCAGGTTGGCATCAATGAGGCCACTGGGGACTGGTGGGCTTAGAGTTGCACACCACCTGAGGGCTTCTCTCAGTCACCTGCTGGGGTGACTGACCTCTTACCTAACTGGCCATTTGAAGGAAGGGTGTGGGGAAAGGCCCCTCTAACATGCGCAGTGAGACCAGGCCTGGCACGGCTTCCTGGGCACTCCCTTCCCAGTCCCTGACAAAGGGTGGAAGAAAAACGTACTCACAATTTGGGTTACTTGCTCCATATGCAATCATCAAGCAGGAGACAGCAAAGCAGGCACTAAAACCCAGAAGAAACAGTATATTACTTATTATCACATGGTGTATTGTTTTTGTTCATACTGTTATTACTTGTGGATATTTACTGTGTGTCAGATACTTTCAGGAAATTTACATGTTATTTCATTTAACAATTCTAAGTCTAATTGGCCCCATTTTACTAACGAAAAAAATAAAATTCAAAAAAAGGAAGAACTAAATTCTCCAAAGTCTCCTTGCTAATAGGTGGTGAAGCTGGCATTTAAGCCACAGAGCCAAATCTGGTGAATACGGCACTGCACTCCCACCCCCAGACTGCAGAGGGCAAGGCTCTGAAGCACAATGCTATGCCCACTCAGTCAGAGGGTGGACAGTACCTCAATGGGTATGGGGGAGATGAGAGCAGCTCCTGAATCCCCTCCACCTGTTCTGCCCTGGGCATCGGGGCTCTAAGTGCCAAAGAGCGATTCAAACCGCGGCACTGTCATACTCAATGGGAACCACTGCCCAGGGAGAGATTATTCCTAATGGGACCAACTTGGGGAGGATCTTGGCCTGGCAGGTGAGCTGCTTGGTGAGCTGACCCTGAGTATGGTAGACTACAGCTTTATAGACTAGGGACTCACACTCAGCGGGTGCACAAGATGATCCACTAGGGTGTTAGGAGTAGGGGAAATATTAGAACTTTTGTAATTTTTAATCTCCACCACTTTAATTTCTCTTTTTGTATGTATATATATATTTTAGTGCTTTATGACACACACATACACACAAACACATATATATACACACATATACATATATGGCTCATGTGTATGTAGCTGATAAATCCATGAGCTTATATGGGAGCTATATGTTCAAAATCCTTTAATCTGACAGAGGTATAAGGTCAAAAAGCAAGCAACTTGGGCCTCTCAGAAAGGTCTGGAAGGGCTGTCTTTTTTTATGTATCAGCACATTATAAGGACCACGGTACCTGCTAATTCAGTGGCAAATGGTGTAGGAAACCCTTCCTGGGCTCCTGATAGCAAATACCAGGATTCCCTCCAGTGGGGATCCCAGCCCAAGGAGTCCACCTGCCTGTCCCTTCCCAGCACTGACCTGCCCAGTAGCCTGAGATTCCTTGGGCCGTATTTGTCCATGACGATGCCCAGAGGCAGGGTGATGGCACTGAGCAGGAAAGAACCCACGGTGAAGGCCAAGTTTAGCATCTCGTCCTGGGCCTGGCAGCTGAGCCAGCCATTCATCCAGCTCACCTCCTCCTGCTCCAACTTGTTCGTGCCTTCCGCTGTGCCATTGGTGACATTTTCTGTGTGTAGAGGGAGGGAAACCTGATCACAGGGTCATGGCAGGGATTCCCAAAGATCACAGAAGCAGGTGCTCGTTCAAGTCACCCCACGGGGAATGACAGGGTTGCTTCTGAGTCCCTTGAGGGCTCTGGCTACTCCAGCAGATTTGAATGTCTATGTGGCCTAAGCCCCTTGAAATGATAATGCAGACGTTCTTAACTTTTGTGGGAATCACAGACCCTCTGGGGAAGCCAATAAAGAAAGCTATGTTCCTGGGGTCTCCCTAGTGGCCTAGAGGTTAAGTCTCAGGGCTATCACCACTATGGCCCGAGTTGATCCCTGGCCAGGGAGTTAACCCACATATAGCGCAGCAGACCTCTCCTGTCTCACCCGCTGCTCCCCTCAACAGTGTATTTCAGTGGATCTGCCTGTTCTGCTCCCCACTCTGTCTCTGGTGAATCCTCTCACCCCCCAACATCTCTGGCCTACAACCCACTTCTTCTACACCAAAAACACCAAACAAACAAAAAACACACAACAAAACCCACAATTAAATCACCCTTAAAAAAAAAAAAAAAGAAATCTATGTTCTTGCTCTCCAGAGAAAGCACAAGTCTTGAGCACAGTTTCAGGGGCTTCATACTGCTCAGGCTGGGATTCTCATTCAAGAGTAACCTACGCCCTAGAATACAGACCTCGGGACCCAACGTTGGTACCGGCTGGCTAGACACTTCTCAGCTTTGTCCATGGAAAGAAACTGCAGCCAGTCCGTAGGAGGGATTCCAGACCACCTGGGAAGGGCAAGCACTTGCCTGGTTCTCTGTGAAGCAGGGGTAAGAGTGGACTCCTCGACTGCTAAGGATGGCAGACTTCTCAAATGCATGGTCTACCTGCCACCTCCTCCCTGATCATTTCATAGCATCAACCACCACATGTGCTTTGTCACATCTTGTCCTGGGCCTGGCAGCTAAGCCAGCCATTCATCCTTGGGGCAGGGTTTTTGGTATTTTTTTAACATCCAAAGTTATTTGTTTTCACTTGTTCAGGTGCACCTTTTTTAAAATTTTTTTTTATTTATTTATGCGTACAAGAACTGGGGTACAGGGCATCCCCAGTGGCGCAGCGGTTGAGCGCTGGGTTGCGAAGCTGCCCGCAGCCTCTGAAGTACCGGTTCAATCCCCAGCCACCGGGCGAGGGTCCCACATGGCGCGCAGACCTCTCCTGCAGCCCGCTGCTCCCCTCAGGAGTGTACTTCGTCGGTCTGCCTGTTCTGTTCCCCGCTCTGGCTCTGGTGAATTCTCTCACCCTCCTGAGCTTCTGACTGTACCCAGTGCTTGTATAAATAAATAAATCTTTAAAAAAAAAAAAAGAACTGGGGTACAGGCCAAAGGTGGGGGGGGGTGAAAGGATTCACCAGAGACTGAGTGGGGAACAGAACAGGCAGGCAGACTGAAATACACTGCAAGGGGAGCAGTGGGTGAGAGAGGAGAGGTCTGCTGCGCCATGTGGGTAGCACCCTGGCCAGCTGAGGATCGAACTTGTGCTGCAAGGCTGCAGATAGCCTCATAGTACAGTGCTTAACCCCTTCTGCCACCAGGGAGGCCCTCAGGTGCACCTTTTTAACTCTTCCTGCTGAGGTCTTTGTATTGCTGTCCCCTGTGGCCACACCTGTGCTATTATCCCAGCCCTTAATGGCCCCCTCCAAAGTTCACCCAGCATCAAGACAACAAAAATAAGGAAGAAAAAGTGCTGTGGCAGCTGAGGGCAGGAGGGTGGGGAAAAGGCCGGGATACAGTTAAGGACTCTCTCTTCTCCGGGACTGCTAGTTAAGAGATGCTGACTAATCCTGAAGAATGCCTGATTAGATGTGAGGTCATACCGGGAGAGGCAAGAAATACCTCTCCAGATAACTGCGTGCGTCCCCACAGCAGCCCTCTGGCGCCTGGGCTGTAAAGCTGAGGTCTGCAGAAGCCAGCCCAGGCCTCTCAGGGCTGCCCCGAGGTCACAGAAAAGGATGCCCCTTGGGTGAACCATGCCATATGCCAACCTCTAATCACCAAGCCCTGCTGGGGGCACGTTGATTGAGGGTGAGTTGCCAGGCCCTGGCCTCTGGGTTCTAGTTTTGGTTCCTTCACCTTCTATTCAAATAACCTTGGAGTAGTGACTTCATTTCATATTATGTCAGTCTCTCTGTCTAAAAAAATGGTCATAATATAGAATTAGTATCTACCTCCTAGAGCTTTGGGAAAAATAAATGAGAAAATCTAGATTATATTCTAGAGCTCACACAAGATAGAAAGCACTCAATAGTTATTATTCTTACATTATTAGAGCCTTGGGATGGGGTAATGGTACAGCTGACTGGCAGCAGAGCAAAGGCACATGGAGCTGACTGGCACACAGAGGCTGTAACTTTGTGGTTGGTAACATCAATTGAGTCTGGTCTCCCACTGGGTTAGGGGCCCTACAGGGCAGGAACTGTGTTTTAGCCACCTGAGCCCGCAGTACCTTTCCTAGGTCCTGATGCACAAGAGTTGTTTATTGAATGAATGAAAGCAATGAAATCAGATCACCATGGCCAAAAGGATCAAAAGAGTGGAAAGGAAACAGGACATTCAGAACCAAGCTGAAGATAGAGAGAACTGAAGATTACAGCTACGTTAACCTCCTGAAGTCACAGAAACAATATAGCAAGTCACAGTTCTGCTGTTCCCAGCCTTGCTAGCCCCTTTCCATGACACTAGCTCTGTTTTCAAAGGGGCTCTACCACACTGGTAGCCCAAACACAAGCAGAATGATGTGAGCCCACTACGACCCAGCTCAGAACTGTCACACCAGCTGCCTTGGCTGGCAGGCTTGAGCCACTCATCCACTGTGGGGAAGCTTCTGGAAAGACAGAGCTGCTTCAAAGATTGGCTCTGAAGCAACAACAGGAATTGTGAAGTGGGGGAACAGGGTCTCTACACAGCAATGGCATTTCCAGGTCAGTGTGCAGGTACAAGCAAACTAGCACTAATGCAGCAGAGTGGGTGGGTGAGCAGGCACCCCAGGGCCTGGATCACTGGCCTATAAGACCTGGTTGTGGCCATCAGGGTCTAAAGCCCCTTAGTACACTATGGGACACACTATAACTCCAGGTTTGAGTGCTGCAGGGTTTGCTGTTGCAGGCTGGGAGCAGTAGCTGGACCAGGCTGAAGGGTGCCAGGCAACAGGTTTCTAAACCGAGGCCGGAGGGTGCCACCACAAACGGAGGAGAAGTTCCGGCTGGAGAGCAGCCTGAGTCCAAAGGGGGGCAACGAGCTAGACTTTGAGCTAGACTTCGAAAGAGCAGCCTCCGGACTTGAGTAGCCTCCGGCAAGTCCTTGCTCAGAGCCAGTTTTAGGACAGCTCTGAATTTGCTTCAGGGATCCGCACCTTTTATACATCCTTACCAGGCTTAGCCTCGGGCACCATCTGCCTTACAAGTCTTTAACACTCAGTATTTGGCCGCAGCCATTTTCACTCACAGTGCTCGCGTTCTCAGGCACCTTAGTATTTTTAGTTTTACTTGTAAGCTTTGTATGTTCATTACACCCTGCCCCCCAGTTTTCCCAGAGAGGAACCACAACTGGACCCCTAAATCCATGACGACACTCACTGAAAGAGGGAAATAAAATCCCAAAGCAATGTATCCAAAGCAATCTGCCTGATTTGCTGTAAGTGGGGATGGGGGCGGAAACATCTTGAATTGTTTACAGATCGTTGTTAACTAGAGAGGGGGCCAGTGAGAAGAAAGGTCAGAGTGGAAGGAAGGGCATCTGTCCCTCCTGTCTTTCATGCTGAAGCCACCACACAGGAGCAGGGACCTTACACTTTGGGTCACCAGCCTTCTCTCCCTAAATAAATCCCTGCCAATGGAGGCACGTGGCCCTCTGCCCTCCTGCCTCAGGGCAGTGATGGGGGTGGGTCAATCTGGGGTCTGGGGACCTGCCTGGCTTTTTTAGTCCTGCCTATGGAGCATTATTAGAGTCTCCCTGCTCCTAGAGGGAACTAAAACTTAGGTGAGCCCAGCAGTTTTGTTAACAGTAAACAACCCACACAAATAGGCAGAGATCCAGCAGATGCCCTAACACAGTCACACCCAGGCTGCTCCTCTCCCTCTGTTCCCACCTGAGCCATTGTGTGCCAGGAGAGACACAAACAGATAAGCAACCAGGAAGTACCAAGCCCCGGGGTGCCCCTCTGTGCCGCCTATGGCTGAGCCCTCATCCCAGTCCAGCCTGCTCTGTGCCTCACCTGTGCCTGTTTATTAAACAGATGCCTCCACAACGGACAGCCAGAGTGGCCTGGCCCAGCACAGACAGGGAAGTTGAATCAAGAAGACAGGCAAGGAATTGGTGAGGCCAGAGTGTGCAGGGAACAGGCAGTTTAGGAGGAGACCTACGATCAAGGAAGAAAGAACAATGCCCGCACTGTTCAGCCCCACTCACAGAAGACTCATACACAAAATCTTTACAGAGAACTCCAGGGAGAAAAGAGGGTGTTGTGACCCTACTCAGTCTCCTCTGACATCCCTCGGTCAAAGAGGGGGCTCCCTCCAACCCAAGAACAAAAAAGGAGAGGGGAGCCTTCAGAATAGCTGGCAAGAGGATGCTTGAGGGAGCAAAAGGGCACCTGGCTGGGGGGCCCTCAAAATTCCTGAGAAGTCTCCTTCTCTGACAGGCTGCTTACAGACCCTCCCCCACGCCAAACCCCAGGGGCAGGCCCTGGACCTCCCTGCTGATGGTCTCTGCCCCAGGATCTCCTGTCTCTCAAATCCTTGTCTATCCGGCAACAGGAAGCAACATCTCAGTCCAGCAGGGGGGATGTAGGTAAGAGGTCAACCTCAAACAGCAAATAAGAGACAGAGCAGGGACAGTCAGAGGGCCAGAGAGTCGAGTTGTCCTGGGTAGGCCAGGGCTTGGCCCCATAGCCGTGGTCACAGGGTAGCTGTGTGTAATGAACGCTGGGTTCGATACTATTGGTTTCTATGTCACTAACACACTCCACCTCCGCTCCACTTTTTTTTTTGGTGTACAGAAGAACTGGGGTGCAGGCCAGAGGTGTGGCAGTGAGAGTATTCACCAGCAACAGAGTGGGGAGCAGAACAGGCAGATCTACTGAAATAGACTGCTGAGGGGAGCAACAGGTAAGACAGGAGAGGTCTGCGCCATGTGGGTCAGCTCTCTGGCTGGGGATAGAACTCACACCATAGTGGTGACAGCACTGAGACTTAACCTCTAGGCCACCAGGGAGGCCCTCTTTCCATATTCCACACCAGGGTACCAGGAGGTCTCACAGCAGGTAAGTCACTTGCTGGAGGTCTTAGAGATGGTCTTTAGGGAAGCCGGACTTGAGTCAGATTCTACCTCAAAACTCCTGCTTTTGATCTTTCAGGCTGTGCTTATGCTGTATTACCTGGGTTAGAGCATTCCAGAGAGAAAATGTTGAGAGAATAGAGATGGGACAAACCACACCGGATGGCCCTTCACCTAGTGAGATTGGGACCACCCCCAAGACCTTACCATGAGGTTCCTGAAAGCTAACCCAAGTGGGACAGGACCTCAGTGGGACACCAAGAAGCCAACTGGGGCCAAGGGATATGGGGGAGGGAAGTCAGGCCCTGAGATGAGAAGGAAGAAGGGTTGATGGGAAGGCCCAAGGACACTAGCTCCTCTCTGCGATAGATCCTGAGGCTGTAGGCATCAGCCTTTAGACCCTTTTACCCATTGCTACAAAACGTTTTCATTTAAATTCAAAACAAACTGGGGGGTAGAAGGAGTTAAAACACATTCACAGCAATAAAAGCAAACAGTAGTTTTCAAAAACTATTAACCACTGACCTTTGGGTATGGGAGGAGATTGTGAAAAGGGAGGGCCTGGAAGCAGCCCGGAATATCTCCTGTCCACAGCTATGTCTTCAACCCAGTCTGGTAGGGGCCAGGCCTGGTCCTGCTTTCCTGGGTGACAGCTGCCCCCCTTCCCTTGCAGGGCCCCAGAGTGCAACTCCTTGCTTTGTTTCAAGGTAAGGGATACAATTTCAAGGTAAGGGATACAATTTCCCACCATCACCATAGGCAGAATGCCTGCAGTGGTCAGGAACACAGAACTGGGAGCCCCTTAGAATACAGGACTGGGCTGCACTGTGTCTTCCTTGACAGAGGCCATGTGTCCCACCATTGCCCCCATCCGGCCAAATCCCCAGTGATCCAGGGTCCTATTAGGCAAATCTGAGCATCAACCTCCCACCTTAATCACTTTCTCCTTCCTTGAGAGTAAAATCCAATCTCCCCAGTGTCCTCCCAGGTCATGCAGGCCCTGAGCGCCTTCCCACCACTCCAGTCACCTCTTGCCCCACTAATCCTTTGCCTCTTCTCCAATGTGCAGTCTGCTGGGAACTGCCATGGGACTCCTGGCCCGCCCTCTCCTGACTCACCCCTCCTAACAGGTCACACACTTCTTAAACATCAGAGTTTGTCAAATAACTTCACCCAAGTTGAAGCATTCTCACTCCTGGCACCCTGCTGTTTGTGGAGTGCAACTTCTACCTGGAATCCTGTAGGTCTCTGTGTGATGACTTGCTGGACTGGCAGACAGCAGAATCCCAGCACAGCACCCCAATAAATGTTTACTGAATGTGCAGGTTGTATGAAAGAGAAGATTAAACATCCACAGGTAGCACCGGCCCCCTGAGCTCACCTTGTCATAGTGGGCCACCAGATGACTAAGAAAATGAAGGAGATAGGTGTGGTTGCTACGGCAGCCATTCAGGACCAAAAGGACATAGTATGGAGAAAGCCTCATTGCTCCCAGGCTGGGAACCCAGTTGGCGTCCTGTTCACACCAGCCCTAGGTTCACAGCCCTTGTGACATCAATCCTGATTGTCCAGTCAGGGGGCAAAATAAGCAAAGGGCAACAGAGAACGAGGCTACTTCTTTCCTTCTCCCGCCGCACCAAGCTAGAACCCAGCACCATGTCTTGTCCAGATTCTGACTGGGGTCCTGAGAGTCCTGAGAACCTTTTAACAGGTTCAGGCAAATTTTCTTTCAAAAACAAACCAAAGCGGGGCCTCCCCAGTGGCGCAGCGGTTGAGCTCTGGGTTGCGAAGCTGCCCGCAGCCTCTGCAGTGCCTGTTCGATCCCCAGCTGCTCCCCGGCCACCGGAGGAGGGTCCCACATGGCGCGCAGACCTCTCCTGCCGCCCGCTGCTCCCCTCAGCAGTGTACTTCGGTCCTTCTGCCTGCTCTGCTCCCTGCTCTGGCTCTGGTGAATTCTCTCACCCTCCTGCGCTTCTGACTGTACCCAGTGCTTGTATAAATAAATAAAAAATAAATCTTTAAAAAAAAAAAAACCAAAGCATCAGTCCTAAAAGCAACGAAAAGCTGACACATCTGCATCTCAATCAGCTGTAGGCTGATCAGCTTATCATGACTGTAATTCAATAAATTCAATAAATGGCCTAGCTGCTCCTCTGTAATTCAGCCATCCACCAAGTTTGAAAATGTTAGGCCCAAGCAGAAACCTTGAACCTAAAATCTTCCAGGCACACCCAGTTAGGTGAGGCATGGAGATTCCTGGTCCAGTAAGACAACAGGTGACGTAGACTCCAAGAAGCAAGGAGCAGGGAAGCCAGAGAGATAAGATGTGTGAAATCAGCAGCCTGCCCATGGAGGATGCTGGGTCAGCAGGCTTGCCAGATAGTCAGAAAAACCAAAATCAGAGGCAGGAGCAAAGGCACGTGATAAGAAGTTGATGTTCAACCCACAATCCTGACCCTTCACCTTCACTTTGGTCTATGGGAGGGTCAGGCAAGCCTCTCAAGGACTTAAGCACCAGCTCAGCACAGTGTCTGTACAATCTCTGGTCTCCTCCCACGCAAATGAAGGAAGAAGTCAAGGTTGAGGCAAGAGTGAAGTAACCAGCCCCAATACTGCCGACCGCATAAAATAAATCAAGTCTGTGGGCAACCTGGGCAATCTGTCCCTCCAGCGCCACAGAGGGTCCAAACAAAATTGACCACAAAAGTACGTCAATCTGGGTGAGATGCTAAAAGTTTCCTCTGGGGATGAAGATGTTTCTTTTCATTTTTAAAAAACCTCTGTTCAGCCTGAGAGAGCGCATCAGGGACACTAGCAGGAAGGGTCAAGATCTAAAAGGAAGCAGTGAGAGGAGCGGAGGAGCCAAACTCCCCAACCTGTCCCTTCTAGCGCCACTAATCTCCTAACATCTGTTGGACAAAGCAGAAAGCTTATTCAAAGGTCTGAGTGAAACTCCTCTCCCAAGATTTCTTGCTGATGTGGGGAAAGGGCTGCCAAGAGCCCTTAAGGATAACAGAAATATTTCTGAGGCTAAAGGTTAAAGGTTATAAATTACATACTCTGCCCTCTTCGCTTGCCTTCCCTTTCTCCTGCCCTTAACCTCTACAGCAAAGCTTCCCTAGATACTGAAACACTCAGGAATCTCCCAGGAAGATCAGAAAAGGCAAACAGGGAGGGTTTTACATAGGGTTACAGGCAGCATGAGCTGGTCCAAAGCTTCCTCTCCCCCTCCAAGTTAGAAGTCCAGAAAAAGGCATGTCAGTGGTACTGGCATCAAACTTGGGTGATCTCCATCTAAGGGGATCAGGCAGGGGGTGGGCAGACAAAAGCACTGGGGAGAGAGATTACTGAGTACAATTATTGGGTAGACTCTGTCAGGGACAGAAAGAGGTTGTGGGCCACTTGGGTCCTATTCTTCACCTGAAACTGCTAACCTGCTGTAATTAGGATCCTCAATAGGGGGTAGGGATGTGTGTGTAAAGGTAGGGGTGCAGATCCTTCTTGTAGACAAGAATCTTCACCCTGCATTCAGCAACAGCGATGGTGTGGCAAAGTGAAAGAACAGCCCTAGTCATTCCCATAAAGGCACCCCTGCCTCTCTTCCTCGCTCTCCCATTGCAGGTAGAAGGCCACTGAGATGGTTCTCACTGCCTACGAAAGCAAATGTCCCTTAGAAAATCATAAAGCAGCAATAACAGGCAAAAAATTCTACCCGACAAGTCCTTAAGACACTCCATAATGGCCTAAAAAACATCTAGATTCTAGATGAACCCTCCATGGGGTGGAGGCCAAGCCACTTCCTCTCTCTAGTTTGCACCCCAGCCACCGAATCAGGAGTTCCTCTTTCTTACAGTCAGGGAGCAGCAACATGTTTACTGCAAGGCAAGTGATGTGCCAGGCTCTGGGAGGAGAGGAGTCCAGCAATGTTCCTCCCTGGCAGAAAGAACACTCTGGACTTGGGGGTTCTGGGCCTATCAGTTCCCGATTGTGTGGTCTTGGGCAAATCAGAAAAATACGAGCCTCAGTTTCTTCATCCACAAAAGGGGACAATGATACGGATCCAATGGGCCTCTTGCTAACTGGGAGGCGCTGCGCTGTGAGGTGGTACTGCTGCTTAGCTCTTCACCGCCATCCCGCCGGCCCGCCGTCTCCCAGAGCTCCCCTCCAGGAACCACCGCGAGCCCACCGCACAGATCTCACCTGGCTCGGTACACAGGTAGGAGTAAAAGCCCTCCGACTTGAGCATGATGAGCAGCGAGCCCCAGCCCAGGAGGACTGCCGAGAAGAGGAGGTTCTCCACCACGGCGGTGCAGGCCATCCACCATCGGCGCCGATGGGCAGTGGCGAGGGTGGGCGCCATGGCGCGGCTCAGCGCGGTGGCCCGGCTCCCGGCTGTGCAGCCACCTGCGCACAGACCTCGGCGTCAGCGCCCAGCCCAGCCCAGCCCAGCCCGAGGGGGCAACGCCGGCCGCTGCCGCAGCGCGCGGAGCTTGTCACCCCTCGGTGGCGCGGGCTGTAGGTGCGCGCAGTGAGGGAAGAAGCCCCAGCCCTGCCCCAGCCCTGCCCCAGCCCTGGGCCATCCCCTACCCTCAGCCCTGCAGCTGGCTGGACGGGCTGCCTTAGGCCACGGGAGCGCAGTTCTCCCCCAAGCGGGAGACTTCTCCCTTAGCTGACTCAGAGGTAAACTGAGGCACGAGAGCCGGAAGAGACTAACGCATGCTCAGGGACGTGGGATAGTCCTGGCTCCCAGCAGGACAGACACAGCTTGGGGGCCGACAGGGGCGGCAGCCTGAGGGGCCGACACCAGGTTGGGGGCATACCTGAGGGCTGCCAGTCCCCTCGGGCCCTGACTGGCGCCCTCCCGCCCGACCTCGAGACCCTTCCCCAGAGCAGGTTGCTTCAACCACAAGATCAGCGCTCCGAGCTCCGGAACGGCCCGCCCACGGCCTGCTCATTGGCCTGGCCGCACAGGAACTGCCGCATCATTGGCCACTGCGCAGGTCGCTAGGCGCTGCGGCCACGCGAACCCCGCATGGGAGAAGCAAAGCCGGTTCAAACCGGCGGCGCGAGCTGCCCGCGCGACCCCCATCCTGGGCCCTTCCCTCAGTTACTCGCCCGCCTCCATGACAGCACACCCCGTTCCTCCATCCCCGGGCCCTTCTCTGTCCGTCATCTCTCCCCCCCGGCGACGCCTTATCCATCCCGTGTCTTTCCTCTCAGAGTCACACATCTTCTCCCCAGGCTCCCGCTGGCGCTGCTTTTGTCCACCCTCGGGAGGCCCAGAGCCCTGGATCCCAGCTCACCCGGCTCCTGGTGGTGTGTGTCGGGCCCGCCGGCGCCTTTTCTGCCCCTTTTTATTCCAGCCCTTTTATTCCGACCCCGAGATGAAAACACTGCCGCCCGCTGATTGGCTGCGCGGGGGCTGGAAACAGGCGCCGTCCAATCCGCGGCCGCCCGCCCGCCCCGCGGCGAGCAGAAGCCGGTTCCGGCCGGACTTGGAGACAAACAAGAGAGCTGGGGGGGCTCGGGGGCAGCGCCGGGCTGTGCCCCGCTCTGCCGCCTTCAGCCGGAGTCCCCGCCGGGCTGGGAACCCCCGGGGTCTTGCCCCTGCGCCTCGCCAGAGCCCCACACCCTGCCCGGGGTTGGGACCCCGGCTGGGCGCCCGGCGCCCCCCGAACTTGCCCCGCTGCACGCCGGAGTCCCTGGAGCACCACTGAGCTCGCGCACTGCACGGGGCTCCGGCAGACCACATAGTCGCGGCTTCCCTCGGCCCTGGGCGCCAAGCCCCGATGCTCTGGCTCCCGGGGGTGGTTCTGCGCCCGCCGCCCGCGTCCCCTCCTTCCCACGCAGGGCCGCCGGCCGCGCCGGGCTTTGTGTTTGGAGTCCGCGCGCTCGGGCTCCCCGTGTCCCCCGTCGCGGCGCCGTCCGCCCATCCCGGAGAGAGGATCGCGGTCCAGGGCCGGTGTGCCTCTGCCCGCTCTCCTAACCCATCCCCGCCTCTGGGAAGCCGTCTGCTTAGTCCCCGGACGGGGTCACTTAGGAGACTGAGGTGGGAGTTTGGGACTTGTTCGTGCCCTGGCACCGCGTTTTCTCTGGTACCTCATCCCTCTCCGCGTCCTGCTTCCCGTGTTCCCCTCGGAGTCAGCGCCCCAGCCCCACGCAGGCTGACCATCCTGGCGCTCTCCGCCCGCGCTGACCATCCCACACCCCTCTCCCGAGCCGCCTCCCACCCCCTCCGCCCGGTTCGCGGACGTCTCCTTCAGCCAAGGGCCCTCGATGTGGGGTGATGCGAGGGGCAGCGCCAAGCTGCGAGCCGTAGTCGGACCTCCGGGAAGGAGCGTGGGCTGGGATTCCCGGTTCCCAGTCCTGTCAGCCAAGCTGGACCTGTTCGGAGAAACTGCCAGGACAGGTGGATGGAGCCCGGGCGCTGAAGGTTCAGCTGCCCGAATGTGTCTCCGGACCGGAGACCCTACTCTGACCTCGGAGAATCTTCGGTCTCCCCCCAGCCCAGCTTGGCCTCCCTGGCACGCTCTGCGAGGTGGCTTCTCGCCCCAGGGTTCTGGAGTCACTCCTTATCCACCCACTTTCTTTCCTCTCGTATTCACATATCTTTTCCCTAAGTCCCACTAGTGCGGCTTTTGTCCACCCTCTCCAGGGGCCCAGTTCCCAACATCTCAGCTCACCCGGCTCCTACTAGTGCGGGAGCCTCCTGGGGCCGGCTGTTCCTCCAGAGCGAGGGCGCCCTCTGCCGCCCCGTACCCGCTGCTGGCAAGCGGACTCGGCGCGCCTGGAGCCCTGGACTTGGGGGATCCTGGCTACTTAGCTGGGTATCTACCCTGCACAATCTCACCCATTTTACGAGTGCCATCTGACAAATTTCAGTCTTCCCTTCCTCTTCCAAGAGCCACCTGCTTAAGGGCTGTCTTCAAGGTAGCTGTTCCATACATATCTCTAAACTATTTTAAGCCCTTCTCTAAAATAATTTACTCTCCCCCCCAGACTATCCCCCTATTCTCTCAGATAATAGCACCACGACCTATTGACATTAGACACCGTTATCCATTCTTTCAACAAATATTCGTTGGGCACCTGCTGTTATTGTCCCTCTCCTTTACCTGGCCTCCGCAGTCATACTTCCTAAGTATTTATCTAATCTGCCCATTTGTGTCCCTAGGAGTGCAACTGCTGTTCCATCAGCCTCCAATGTCAGCCCCTTAAGTGCATATCTCCCCATTCCCAGTGAGGTATGAGGAATGTAAATCTGACCTTGGTATATCTGACCCCGCTAAAATCCTTCAGAAACTTTACTATTTGCCCTGCAGGATAAAGTTCAAGTTCCCCAACTTGACCTACACAGGCTCCTCCACACCAGCCCTTCCTTCCTGTGAAGACTGATTGACCTGCCTGGTCCTAGAGGCACAGATCACTTAGAATTGCTTGTGGTTCCTGTACATGCTGTTCTTTGGTCTTTGACCCTCAAACAAAGTCCCTTCTTAGCACCTCCTCCAGGAAGCCTTCCCTAATCATTCCCCAGAGTACTCTCTACTTTGTTCCCTGCAATTATCTGTTCTTCTGTTTGTCTCTGCCTTTTCCCATTGACTATGAACTCTTTGGGGGCATGAACTTTGTCTTTTTGAAAAATCTCTTTAGGGGCCTCCCTGGTGGTGCAAGTGGTTAACACACAGTGCTATGAAGCTATTTGCAGCCACTGCAGCACAAGTTCGACACCCGGCCAGCCAGGGAGTCACCCACATGGCGTAGCAGACCTCTCCTGACTTGCCAGCTGCTCCCCTCAACACTGCATTTCAGTTAATCTGCTGTTCTGCTCCCCACTCTGTCTCTGATGAATCCTCTCACCCTCCACACCTCTGGCCTATAACCCAGTTCTTGTATGCATAAATAAATGAATCCTTTTTAAAAAATCTCTTTATAGGTTTTTTTTTTTAAGATTGGTTTGTTTATACAAGAACTGGGGTACAAGCCAGATATGCGGGAGGGTGAGAGAATTTACCAGAGACAGAGTGGGGAACAGAACAGGCAGACTGACTGAATTACACTGCTGAGGGGAGCAGCGGGGGAGACAGGAGAAGTCTGCCGCCGTGTGGGTTGCTCCGCGGTGGGTGGGGATCAAACCGGCACTGCAGAGGCTGTGGACAGCTTCACAGCGCTGTGCTCAACTGCCTGTGCCACCAGGGAGGCCCTCTTTATAGGCTTTATTGTGAAAAATAGAACAAATTTTTCACAGAAGTCTTAAAAACTAAAAATTGCAATAATTAATGTAGTAGAATGTAAAATGTTTTCCTCTTTGAAGTATGTCTTTTAGTAGCTATAATTTCTTTTGTGTTTTAATTATATTTATAGGTATAGGTTCATACCTGCTCAGAGGTATGTTACCACACACCCCCACCAAAGTGCCCATAATCCTCCACCATAGTCCTTTGGGCTCCCTGTCCCCTTTGTTCCCACTCCTACCCTCCCTCTGTTATTAATAGCCTCAATCCTACAATTCTACAATCAGATTTCTAGAGTTTGTTTAGGTTTAGCTTTGTTCCTTGGTTTTGTTTCTTTATATTCCACGTATGAGTAAAATTATACATTATTTGTCTCTCTCCTGACTTTGCTTAGCAAAATCCACTGTAGTTCCATCCATGTTGTTGCAAATGGCAAGACTGCATTTTTTTATAGTGAAGTGAACTCTATCTTATTCAGCTTTCTCTATTCAGTCCTAATACAGACATAAACACAAAGGATATGCATAATATGAGTGTGTTGAATAAAAACATGAACAAACAGAAAGGGGTGGAAGATACCAGTTTCTTGGGACAAAGGGCTCAAAGCTGGGAGAATGATGGTGATGCCAATGATACTTAACCTTTATTGAAAGCTCAAAAGTTACTAGGTGCTTTACATATAGGCTTTATCTTCACTTTTCAGATGAAAAGATTGAGACTTTAAATAATATCTCCAGGGCCTCCCCAGTGGCTCAGTGGGTTGAGCACTGCTCTGTGAAACTGTCCACAGCCTCTGCAGTGTGGGTTCAATTCCCGGCCAGCCAGGGAGATACCCACATGGCAAGGCAAACCTCTCCTGTCTGGCCCGCTGCTCTCCTCAGCGGTTCTTGTATAAATAAGTAATTATTTTATTTATTTATTTATTTATTTATTTATGCAAGAACCAGGATACAGGCCAGATACGCAGGAGGGTGAGAGGATTCACCTGAGACAGAGCAGGGAACAGAACAGGCAGACTGACGAAATACACTGCTGAGGGGAGCAGCGGGCGAGACAGGAGAGGTCTGCTGTGCCATGTGGGACCCTTGATGGCCGGCTGGGACCGAACCAGTGCTGCAGAAACTGCAGACAGCCTCACAGCGCGGCACTCAACCACCTGCACCACCAGAGGAGGCCCAAATAAATAATTCTTTAAAAATAAATAAATAAATAAATAAATAAATAAATAAATAAATAATATCTCCCCAGACACAAACCAAGTACGTTTGAGTTGAAATGTGAACTATTTGAATTAAAACTCCAGTTTTGTATTTCTTTTTTCAGTCTTTTTGTCATGTTACCAGCACTCTTGGTATGTCATAAAGAAATAAACTACTGAGGGCCTCCCTGGTGATGCAGGGGTTAAAGTCTCAGGGCTATCAAGCTATCATCAGCCACTGAGGCATTAGATTGATCCCTGACCCAGGGAACTGGCCTACATGGCACAGCAGACCTCTGCATTCTGGTGCACTGCTCCCCTCAGCAGTGTATTTCAGTAGATCTGCCTGTTCTACTCCCCACTCTGTCTCCAGTGAATCCTCTCACCACTACCACCAACAACCCCCACCCCACCCCCATACCTCTGGCCTACACCCCAGTTCTTGTATACATAAATAAATACAAATAAATAAATCTTTTAAAAAAAAAGTTATGGACCTCCCTGGTGGCACAAGTGGTTAAGATGCAACCTATGAAGCTATCTGCAACCACTGCAGCATGAGTTTGATTCCTGGCCAAGGAGCTACCCACATGGCACAGCAGACCTCTCCTGACTTGTCTGCTGCTCCCCCCAGCAATGTACTTCAGTCAATCTGTCTGTTCCCCACTCTGTCTCTGGTGAATCTGCTCACGCCCCCACACCTCTGGTCTGTACCCCAGTTCTGGTATGCATAACTAAAAAAATCTTTGGGCCTCCCTGTTGGCACAAGGGGTTAAGCACTGCACTATGAAGCAATCCACAGCCTCTGCAACATGAGTTCGATCCCCAGCCAGCCGTGGAGAAACCCACATGGCGCAGCAGACCTCTGCTGTCTCGCCTGCTGCTCCCCTCAGCAGTGTATTTCAGTTAGTCTGCCTGTTTCTGTCTCCTACTCTGTCTCTAGTGGATTCTCTCACCCCCTGCATCTCTGGCCTGTACCTTAGCTCTTTTTTTTTTTTTTTTTTTAAAAAAAAAGATTTATTTATTTATTTATTTATTTAAGCACTGGGTACAGTCAGAAGCGCGGGAGGGTGAGAGAATTCACCAGAGCCAGAGCAGGGAGCAGAGCAGGCAGAAGGACCGAAGTACACTGCTGAGGGGAGCAGCGGGCGGCAGGAGAGGTCTGCGCACCATGTGGGACCCTCACCCGGCGGCCGGGGATCGAACCGGCGCTGCAGAGGCTGCGGGCAGCCTCGCAGCCCAGCACTCAACCGCTGCGCCACCGGGGAGGCCCTGTACCTTAGCTCTTGTATGCATAAATAAATAAATCTTTAAAAAATAATAAAAATAAATAAAAATTTAAAAATCTTTAAAAAAAAGTTCATCCTTGTAATCACAGAAATCAAAATTTTAATATTTTTGTTGGTTAAAAACAAAAACTTCTATCTATACAAGGATTTAACTTTCAAGATTTTACATGTATTACTTTATTGTGCTAAAATAGACACAGTTTTTTAACCTATCAGATTGGGTGTGGGGAAATAGATACCACTATAATTTGCGAGCATATACAACCTACAACTTTTTTGGAGAATAATTTAGAATAAGTATAAAAATGTTTAATGTTGTACCCCATTAAACCAGCAATTCCACTTTTAGGAACCTCTTCTGCAGAAAAAAACTTGCACAAATTCCACGTAGGGAATATGAACAAAATAAGTATACTATATCATTTATTGTTTCAAAACAATTAAAAACAACCCAATTCCCCATAGGTAGGGGATTGTTTAACCTGTTATTTCTACATGATGGAATCTCATTTCACCTTTTTTTAATTTTATAAAAAGAGGTAGTTTTATATTTACTGACATCAAAAGGTATCCAGGATACATTAAGTTAAAAGGCAAATTGCAAATAGTATGCTTCATATCATCTTTCCTTTGTCGTAAATATTTGTTTACATGTACACAAAAAAAATCTGAAAGAAAGCACCTAAGCTGTTAAAGGGATTCTTTGAGCACTGCCATAGAAGGGGAAATCACTCTTTATCTCTGATTAGGTAATAAAAGTAGGCGAGGAAAGAATTCAACACAAGGATCAAAAGGGGCCTCTCTGGTGGTGCAGGGGTTAAGTCTCATTACTACCCCCTTGGCCTGAGTTCAATCCTCTGCCAGGGAGTTAACCCACATGGCACAGCAGACCTCTCCACTGCTCCCCTCAGCAGAGTATTTCAGTAGATCTGCTTGTTCTGCTCCCTACTCTGTCTCTGGTGAATCCTCTCACCACCGACCCCCCAACTTCCCCGCTGCACCTCTGGCCTACACCCCAGATCTTCTACACACCTAAAACAACAACAACAACAACAACAAGCTCAAAAGGCATCCAATGAAAGGTAAATCTGTCCCTTACTGATATCCTGATTCCTCTGAGAAGAAGGGAAATCTCGTTTTTACTTTATATGTACACCTGCAATGTTAGTAATTTTTAACCAAAAAAAAAAAAAAATGCTTTTTATATTTTTAAAAAATTCCATCTAGTGAGAAAAGTAAAAAGAAAGTTCACTGTAGGAAATTGCAAATTATACAAAAGTTTAAGAAGAAAATAAATATTAGACACAATCAATTTACCAGAGAAAAATATCAATTGATGCCTTTCCTTCAAATCTTTTTTATGCACACAATATCATTTTTTTTAAAGTTTGTAAAACACAAACTCCACACAAAAAGAGAGTTCTAAATACGTATTCTGAGGGAAAAATCAATTCATAAAAAGGAAACTTACTCTCTATTCTTTATACAACAGTATAGTGTGAACATTTTCCCACATTAAATATTTTTGCACAGCGTGATTTTTTTCAGGATTATTTGGAACCTACATATGAAATATTTATTTAACCTATCTTTAACCATCAAACATTTAGGTTTTTTCCCACTTCAGGAAAATGTTTTGCAAATAAAGGGGGGAAAATTGCTTTTGGGGGCAAACAGAGTCCAAGATAACAGAAAAAAAAAAGTCCCTGCAGTCATCTCTTTCCCTTTCCTGACCCCATCCTGCGAGGTGTCTGCCAGGCTTTCCAGATCATTCCCAGAGCATTGCCAGGACCCAGAGCCAACTGGCGTCCAACCCTGACTATTCCCTGTAGAAGGGCAGGACCTCTGGTATGTCTGTCCTGGCCCTGTGATTGTTTTCTAGCTCAAAACAGAATCTGATCCAGGGCTAATTCAAATGCACCCCCATCCATAGTCTTAATATTCTCCAATGTCAGGGTCCTCAGGGCTCTGGGGGCCCAAACATAGGTGTAACATTCTCATATTGAGGCTCCTCCTGCCCTTCCTCTTCAGCTGGCTTCTGAGGATCCTGTTCCAGGAGGCTATTGGTGGGGGCTGGCTCCTGGGTGCTCCCTGAGCCCTTGATGCCATCCTCTAGGCCCCTGGTCACTTCCTCTGGCCTGGCTTCTGCAGACTCTGAGGCTCCAGTAACCTCATTTGGGGGTGCTGAACCAGGACTCTGATTGGCAGTGCCAGAGGCCAGCCCTGGGCTGCCCTTGTTCCTACTTAGGGCCCGGCGTGGAGGCTTAGGGATAGCACTCTTGACTTTGGGCTCTGCCTGGCCTTTCTGGAAACTACCAAATCGGCGAAGGACAGACCTGACAGGGCCCTCAGAGCCCCGGGGAGTCCCTGCCAGCATGTAGATCGTGGTCACAGAGTCTGAGCTCTCCTGGACACAGCCCTCGATGGCTTCCACACGCTCAGCCACTGTCCGGCCACCAAGGGGGAACCGGTGGCGGCCAACAGCTGAGTCCTTAGGGCTGGCGGCATCAGGAGGGGCCTCATTCACTTCTGCTTGCTCTGGGCCAGTGGAGTCCTCAGTCTCTGGGCCATGAGAACCTGGCTGTGCTCCCCGGGGCAGCCTCTTGGGCTTTCGAAGTGGGCTGGAGAGCTCCCCTGAGCTCTGGTGACTCTGTGGTGCAAACTTGGTGCCTTCAGCAAAGGAGACTGATGGCCGCTTGGCCCTGGCTAGACTGGAAGTGCGTGGGATGACGAAAGGTGTAGAGGCATCCTCAGGGGGTGGGAAGGGACCTCCAGCTAGATTGACCCCTGGCAACTCTTCTTGGGCCACAGGGACCATCCCTAGCAGAAGAGACATAAGAGTTTGGCCAGAGTTGGGCGGGCCACCCCAATCCATGCTGCTTATCAAGATCAGCATCAGGCCTCCCTGGTGGTGCAAGGGGTTAAGATGCAGTCTATAAAGCTATCCATGGCCACTTCAGTATGAGTTCGATCCCTGGGCAGGGAGCTACCCACATGGTGCTGCAGACCTCTCCTGTCTTGCCTGCTGATCCCCTCATCAGTGTATTTCAGTCAGTCTGCCTGTTCTGTTCCCCACTCTCTCTCTGGTGAATCCTCTCACCCCCTGAACCTCTGGACTGTACCCTAGTTCTTGTATGCATAAATAAATAAATCTTTAAAAAAAAAAAAAAAGAAAGAACGCCACACTCTAACCAAGTAAAAACTTGGTTATGCCATACAGCCATACAGCCATATCCCTCTTGCCTCTGGGCCTTTGTATACACTGTTCCCTCTTCCTGAAACATCATTCTCACCTCTCTGACTTTCATTTGGCTAATGCCTACAGATTCTGCTAGACTCAACTCCATTATCACTAACACTGAGTCATCTTCCCGGAGCCCAGGCACCTCTGATACTGGTCATGAGTCCCTACTGGTATGTCTCCATCAAAGCATGTATTACTTTGTTCTTTAAGAATCTGATTATTGTTCACCAGTAATAAACTTGATGAGACAGGAATCTGTATTGTTCTTTCCTGTGTCCCAGAGCCAGGAATAGTGACTGGTATAGTGACTTGATGCACATTTATGGATGGAATCAAGAAAATGCTGGCGGGCCTCCCTGGTGGTGCAGCGGTTGAGCTCTGGGTTGCAAAGCTGCCCGCAGCCTTTGCAGCGCCGGTTCGATCCCCGGCTGCTCCCCGGCCACCGGAGGAGGGTCCCACATGGTGTGCAGACCTCTCCTGCCGCCCGCTGCTCCCCTTAGCAGTGTACTTCAGTCCTTCTGCCTGCTCTGCTCCCCACTCTGGCTCTGGTGAATTCTCTCACCCTCCCGCGCTTCTGACTGTACCCAGTGCTTGTATAAATAAATAAAAATAAATCTTTAAAAAAAAAAAAGAAAATGCTGGCCTCCCTGGTGGTGCAAGGGATTAAGATACAGCACTATGAAGCTATCTGTAGCCACTGCAACATGAATTTGATCCCTGGCCAGGGAGCTAACCCACAAGGCACAGCAGACCTCTCCTGTCTCGCCCGCTGCTCCCCTCAGCAGTGTATTTCAGTAGATCTGCCTGTTCAGCTCCCCACTCTGTCTCTGGTGAACCCTCTCACACCCCACACCTCTGGGCTGCACCCTAGCTCTTGTATGCATAAATAAATAAATCTTAAAAAAAAAAGAAAAAGAAAATGTTATGTTGGGCAGGGCTGTTCAGGGGTGAGTGGGCTCTTGGGTGGCTACCTTCTTGGGGTGGGACGCAATAGGCAGGACCTTCATCATCCTCTCCAGACTCAGGATCAGAAGAGAAGGAGTCATCTGAGGCCCAGCCAGCAGAAGGAGGCTCGATGAAACTGTGGTTGAAGGGGACCTCCGGGTCGTGGTGGGAGACTGTAAGGGGCTCCAGGTTAGGCAGAGAGCCTGATGGGAAGCTTGTCCCATCCCAGGCCCTGTCCCTCAGTGCCCACTTACCTGTCACCCAGGGAAGCTTGTGGCTGCTGAGGGAACCACACGGAAGCACAGAGCCCAGGCTGGCCAGTGCCCCCCAGACCTGCAGCTTCATCCTGGACACAGCAGCTCCATCTCTCACTGGTCTGAGGGTACAGGAGGATGGTCAGTGCATGGATCCCTGGTTGGGGCCAGGTGGGGGCAGGAGAAAAGAGCCAGGACCATTGTGGTCCTGAGCATATAGTGAGGGAAGCAGGGTGATATAGTGACTCTGTGTACTTCAGCAGTTCCCGATGACTACAGGTAATATCCAAACTCTTGAGCTTGAGATATGAGCCTGACACAGAAGACAGTGTGACTCTAGAGTCAAACAGAACTGGGTAGCAACTCTGTTACACTTCACCAATCTGGACCTCAGTTTCCTCATGTGTAAAATGGGGACAATGCCTATCTGAGTTGTTTTCTTCCCCCCAAATCCAGCACAGTGCCAGGCATCCCCAAAATGCAGTTGTATGTATTCATCATCCTCATGGATCCCCAGTACACCTATCTCAAGTGGCACCACCTCCAGGAGCCTGCACTTGTCCCCTTCACCAAGCTGGGAGTGACTGCTCCACTCAATACCATTACTCTGTCAGCCTTTGTATATGTCCTCCTCCTTGTAGGAAGAACTTCTCCAACACAGGCTCTGTGCCCCAAGAGACCAACAAAGGGGTTTGCTCATGTGTGAATGCCCACAGCACCAAGGAGGAGGTCCTCAGGATTAGAGCATGAACAGAGTCCAGAAACAGGGGATGAGCTTTGTGCCTACCAGTGATTAGCTAGGTACCAGTGAGGTGCCTACCAGTGAGGCCTCCTCAGGCCTCAGTGTCCTCCTCTGTTACATGAGAATGCTAATCCTCTTGCCCGTCCGTCATTCCCTGCTCCAAACCTCTACTGTGGAGGGTCTCAAAGGAATGAAAGGGTGTAAAGAGATTTTGTAAAGGAGGGCCTTCCTGGTGGCCTAGGGGTTAAGTCACAGGACTATCACCCTGATGGTCCACAACAAAGGCCTGAGTTTAATACCCGGCCAGGGAGCTGACCCACCAGGGAGCTGACCCACATGGCACAGCAGACCTCTCCTGTCTCGCCTGCTGCTCCCCTCAGCAGTGTATTTCAGTGGACCTGCCTGTTCTGCTCTCCACTCTCTCTCTAGTGAATCCTCTCACCCCCCGCACCTCTAGCTTACACCTCAGCTCTTGTATGCATTAATAAATAAGTCTTTGAGAAAAAGAAAAGAGAAAGACTTTGTAAAGGAACAAAGTCTGTGCAAGCAACGTTCTTCAGTGGTGGGCCCCACAAATTTCCTCTCCTCCTCTCTCAGAAAACCACACGTTTCTCTGCTAAACCACTGCTCAGATTCTTATGTCACTTTCTCTCTATGGGGTTTGAGGCCTAGTCGCTTCCCCTTCCTGCCCAGAGCTGCTCTGCTTCTACATGCCCTGACCACCTGCCAGCCTGGTGCCCAGTGCCCCTGCTCATGCTCTCGCAAGTCAGAAACTCTCCTATGAAGGTTTCTGAGGAAACCAGGCAGCTGACCTTGTATCTCCAGGCCAGGGCCATTGCCAACTGCCATTACCTCTGACCTAAGTGTTTGACAAGGCCTGACTTTCCCCATCCCTGAAAGGAGGCCAGACTGAGCTATGGGGCAAGGAAAGGACAGGCCAGTGTTCACCTGTCCTTGGGGTCCAGTCGTGCAGCCCAGCAACAGCAGACACAGCAGGCAATCCCTAAGAGAAGCAGTAGCAGAGGTACAAGGATGCCCACAATGAGGGCCACATCCTGGCCGTGAGATCCTGGGGAGAAAAGGGGATAGTTAAATACTCAGGACTTCGCTGTCTCCCAAACATGTTGTCTCATCTCTAGCTCTGTGCACCTCCTCCCCAGAATCTTCCACCTGTGTGTCCCTCCCCCTCTTCTGAGAGATGTAGACTGTTCAACCTGGAAGCCCCTTCCTCCAGGCAAACTCCAGGCAAGTCTGTCCCCTCCTGATGGTCCCTGGCCTGTTCCACAAAATCTGGCCCCTAATTATCATGCCTCATCCCAATGTCCAGCCCTGCCTAATCATTTCCTCCGCTCTGGCTTGGTTTCTGAAAGGGCCAGGGCTCTGTCACATCTTCAGGGGGCCCCAAAGCATTCATACAGTGTTCGGGCATAGGAATGTCTCTGAAATGGGCCCAGCCTCCATGGCAAATGATGTGCCACCAGAGCCCAATCTTTCCTTGGGTACTGCACCCTCCACTCTCCTTCCACCTTACCAAGCTGGCAGGCCCCAGAGACAGGATGGCAGGGTCCCTCTAGGCATTCACAGGGAATAGAGCAATTGTTTCCGTGGAAGCCAGATGGGCATGAAATGTTGCAGCTATGGAGTGACAAGAAGAGACAGGTGGCAGGCTGGGTGAGAAGGGATGGAGGTGGTCAGGGACAGGGGAAGGTAGATTTCTGGGTGAACTATTCCCCACTCCTCATCCCCCCCACATCAGGCCAAATACCTTGGATAAGTACCAAGCAGACACCCATCCCCCCTCATCTGAGCCATATTCTAAGTACCCTGGCAGTGTTTGGGAGAATCACTCAGCCCCTAAGCCAGTCTTCTAGGGAGATCATCCCTAGAATTGCCAAACTGCCCCCAGACTCCCACTTTTCCGGGGTACAGCCCTCAGGGTGGTATACCACTCATTATCCTCATCCCTGTCACCCAGCACTTATTTGAGATAAAATAAGCAAGAGGCCAATGGCATTCAGAAAAACATCCTCAGGGTCTGCAGGTCTAAGGAGGCCCAGCCTGCCCCTTACTCTCTGGGCCTCCATCCTCTCATCTAGAAAATGAAACCTCTTCTATTGGACACTATAGTCTGTCCTATAGGAGGATAATCTGATATTGGCGACATTGTTATTCATTTTTTTACCACCTAAAGACTTTCGGGAAACAATAGTAGGACTTGGTGTCCTACCCCTAAACAACTTTCCCATCCCATTGGGGAACTAGTCCTTTTAGATTCAGCATCACTCTGACCTTCCCTTGGAATATGCAGAACCCACAGGAGATGTTCTTAGCTATAAGGATAACATAAGCATTTTTTAGTTATGAGACTTCTCAGTGTCTGGGAGGGAGAAGCCCAGGAATAGAAATTTAGAAAACAGATTACAAAGAAGCCTAGGTCCCTGCCTCCCCCGCACCTCCCCACCCCCAGGGCCCTGGTTTTCACCTGGGCCCCCAGTAGCCGGTGTTGCAGATACATTCCCCAGTCACAGCATCACAGGTCCCCTGAACACAGGTGGGGCAGGTAGAGCCACAGCCCTCCCCATAGGTGCCAATAGGGCAGGGGTCTTCACACCTAAGGTGAGGCAAGATTCAGCATGAGGGAGCAGGACAGGCCTGGTCCCACAGGGGAGGCAGTATCCATTTTCCCCCACGCTCCTGGACTCAGGAACCTGACTGTCTATTCCTCAGCAATGAAGTTCAGGTGCACACAGGGCCTTGAATGTGGAGCAAACCCAACAGCTGACAGATTATAGATCCCTGGAAGAACAGGGCAGGAAGTCTGATTGGTGGGGAAGCTGGAAGAGAGCCCTGCCCAGGAGCTCATCATCACCCATGCCTCTCCTCTCAGTTTGGGTCAGGAGGCAGGCCTTAGCAGGATGTGTGAACATGTGTGTGGCAGGAAGGGCAGCTAACCCAGAGAGGGGTGAGAGTCCTGAAGGATGGTGCACTCCACTCTGAGCAGATAGACTCCCTTACCTGGGCCCTAGCCAGCCGGAGTCACAATGCTCACAGTGCCCATTGTCTGGTTGACAGGTTTCCCCAAACCGGCAATGGGGGCACTGCTGTCTGCAGCTCTCGCCAAAGGTTCCAGATGGGCAGGGATGTTGGCACAGGGTCCCATTCCAGCCGGGCTCACAGGACTGACAGCTGCCTGTGTCTGCAGAGCAAGGCTCATTCTGCTTGCAGTGGCCACAACTGGAGAGAGAAGAGGCTTATGGGAACAGTGGAGGTGGGTGGATGCAGTGCCTACCCAGGCCACAAGGGGTGCTGGAGAGCAACCAGAGTGCAGCTGGGTTTCAGGCACCGCTGAGCATTGCTGGACAAAATAGAGTCTGGAGATGAGCTCTATAAGCTCTAGTAGGAGTCCAACCCTCTCCTACAATCCCATTCTGGGATCCATCTTATCCTGGGGTGCAGGGTCAATCAGGAGCTACAAGGCCAGCTGGATCAGCCAAGTGGCCACCAATCTCTGTTTCCCTCTGCCCAGCATCCCCCTCCATTGCCTTCCCTTCTCTTCCTTTTGTCCCTGCCATCTCTGAGATCTGGCATGACTGGGACTTGGCAATTTATCTTTCTATAACATGAAAATGCAAAAATGCATAAAAATAAAAACATAAAATGCTTGTTTTTGCCACTATAATTTGAAATTTATCTTTTTAATTTTTCCTCAGTTTTATTTTTTAAAGATTAATTTTTATTTCTTTATGCAAAGGCTGGGGTGTAGGCCAGAGGTGTGGGGGTGGGGGTGAAAGGATTCACCAGAGACAGAGTGGGGAGCAGAACAGGTGGATCTACTGAAATACACTCCTGAGGGGAGCGGGGTGAGACATGAGAGGTCTGCTGTGCCGTGTGGGTCAGCTCTCTGGCTGGGGAGAGAACTTTTGTAGAAGTGGCTGTGGATTGCTTTATAATGCTGAGCCTTAACCCCATGCACCACCAGGGAGGTCTCCCTCCCCCAGTTTTATTGAGACATAATTGACACAGAGCATTGCATAAATCAAGTGGTACAGCATAGAGACTGTGCATTATGAAATGATGACCATAATAAGTCTACTTAACAAAAAAAAAGTCAAAAAATGTTTTCCTTGTGATGAAGGATAATTCTCAACAACATTCAAACATAGGTTAATTTCTCACTGATCCCTAATAGTTACTACTTGAAGTTTCTTCTTCCAGATACTTATCTGGGATATATGTGTGGATGAGACCCATCAGTGGGGGGAAGAGTGAGGGTTCATAAAATCAATTTAGCAGATCCAACATCAAAAATAAATAAGTAGGGACCTCCCGGTGGCTCAGGGGTTGAGTCTCAGCACTATCAAGCCACTGCAGCACGAGTTCAATCCCAGGCCAGGGAGCTAATCCATGTGGCACAGAAGACCCCTCCTGTCTCATCCACTGCTCCCCTCAGCAGTGTACTTCAGTCAGTCTGCCTGTTCTGTTCCCCACTCTGTCTCTGGTGAATCCTCTCACACAGACACCCCACCCCCAACACCTCTGGCCTAGACCCCAGTTCTTGCATCCATAAATAAATAAATAAAATCTTTTAAAAAATAAATAAATGCAATACAGTGTATGTATGTGCATCTGTAGCAAAGATAAGTATGTGTTGTCTGGTTAAAGTTTTACTTCAATTGTGTGTGTGTGTTAGCTGGGGTGCAAAACGTATTTCTTATTGTGGGTGAAGGTGGTCAGAGTTTAAAAGTTGTGGGCCTCCCTGGTGGCACAAGGAGTCAAGCACAGCAGTATGAAGCTATCCGCCGCCTCTGCAGAATGAGTTCGATCCCCGGGCGGCCAGGGAGCTAGCTACCCACATGGCACAGCAGACCTCTCCTGGCCGCACACCTCAGCAGTGTATTTCAGTCAATCTGCCTGTTCTGTTGCCCACTCTGTCTCTGGTGAATCCTCTCAGGCCCCCACATCTCTGGCCTGTACACCAGCTCTTACATAAATAAATAAATAAATCTTAAAAAAAAAAAGTAACCAAAGGAAGAGTGGGTGAGGCTGGTCTAGGGAGATGGATGGCCCTCCCCTCCCCCTTTCACCTTGTCCTTGTGTATTTTTGTGGAGAGCACTGAGCACCCTCTCTGCTTCCCCACCTTCTTCCTGAAACGCCAGCTCCTCCTGCCTCGCCCCCTTTCTCTCATTGCCTTTCCCCTCCTGCCCTCCCTTCTCTCGCTCCCCTCCCTGCCCGCCCCTCCAATTCCATCTCCTCCTACGTGCTGGCCCGGTCCCCCGCCCGCAGTGAGTCCCCCCACTCACTGGTCGCGACACTGCTCCCCGTAGCGGCCGGGCGGGCAGGGCAGCTCGCAGCGCGCGCCGCGGAAGCCGGGTGGGCAGGTGCACTGGCCGGAGTCGGCGCTGCAGTGGCCGCGCACACACTCACAAGGGTGCTGGCACTTGTTGCCCCGCCAGCCGGGCAGGCAGGCGCAGCGGCCCGACTCCTGAGCGCACGGCGAGCCGTTGCAAGTGCACTGGAAGCTGCAGCGGCGGCCCCACCAGCCCGGCTCGCACAGGCAGGCGCCCGTGTCCGGGTCACAGCGCGCCGTCGCCAGGTTACACTGGCACGGGCGGTGGCACGTGGGCGACCACCAGCCGGGATCGCAGTGGCATGCGCCCGTCGCGGGGTCACAACGCCCGCGGGTGCCGCAGGTGCAGGCGAACTCGCAGTGTTTGCCCCAGCGGCCAGCTTGGCAGCGGCACACGCCCGTGGCCGGCTCGCACTGGCCATGCGGGTGGCAGGTGCAGCTCTGACGACAGTCGGGGCCCCAGTACTGGCCCGGGCAGCCTGTGGAGGAAGGGGGAGAGGATTGGAGGGTGAAGGGAAGGAGTGAGGCCTGGGCTTTGATTCCTGCCTCCTGCCCCTTTTTTACACCAAAGAGGGGCACCAGGCCCACCCTCCCAGAATCAGGGACAAACCCGTGGAAGATCTGGTACCTAGCCTCCTGGGCACAGCTCTCCTCCTGCTGAGACTCTGATCTACAAAACCCTGAGCAGTGACCTGGCCTCCCACTTCACATTCTAGAATACACTTGAAGATCCTGGAGGGACAGGGCTTGTCAAGAATCATATAGAAGGGCCTCCCCGGTGGCACAGCGGTAGAGCGCTGGGTTGCGAAGCTGCCCACAGCCTCTGCAGCGCCGGTTCGATCCCCGGCTGCTCCCCGGCCACCAGAGGAGGGTCCCACATGGCGCGCAGACCTCTCCTGCCACCCGCTGCTCCCCTCAGCAGTGTACTTCGGTCCTTCTGCCTGCTCTGCTCCCCACTCTGGCTCTGGTGAATTCTCTCACCCTCCCGCGCTTCTGACTGTACCCAGTGCTTGTATAAATAAATACATGTTTAAAAAAATAATAAATAAAAAAAATAAAACGGGCCTTCTTTAAAAAAAAAAAAGAAATCATATAGAAGGGCCTCCCCTGGTGGCGCAGTGGTTGAGCGCTGGGCTGCAAAGCTGCCCGCAGTCTCTGCAGCACCAGTTCGATCCCCGGTCTCCGGGCGAGGGTCCCACATGGCGCGCAGACCTCTCTTGCAGCCCGCTGCTCCCCTCAGCAGTGTACTTAGTCGGTCTGCCTGTTCTGTTCCCCACTCTGGCTCTGGTGAATTCTCTCACTCTCTCACACTTATGACTGTACCCAGCGCTTGCATAAATAAATAAGTAAATCTTTTTTAAAAAAAAATCATACAGAAGTGGGTGCCGCTTCATTCATGCCCCCTCCTCCCTTGCACTGGGCTCCCCCAAGCGTTAGAAGTGAGTTACGTGTCCATCCTGCTGCCCATCAGGGTCTACAGGAGGAGACTCATTTCCCCCCAGTGTCCCTCTTGACACAACCACGGTGTCAACCATTTCTCATGACCCTCTGTACCGGATGGGGTACAGTCTAGCCAGAGACCTTCCGCTCTCCACACATGGCCAAGGTAGATGTGGGGGAGACTGAGAAATAGATCGTTTGCCAATTAACAGAGATCACCAGCATCTTTTCTGAGAAGTTATAAAGGAAGATGAAGAGGCCAGAACTGAACCAGTCGGTAGGGCTTTGTGGATACAGGGGGGGGGAAAACCAGATGACTCAGGGCATCTCCTAGAAGTGCGTCACTTCCTGTCCCTGGGCCTCAATTTCCTCAGGGAAGCTCAGAAAGGATGCTGCCCCTGCTGTTCTAAGATTGCGTTCCTACCTGCTTTGCCTTCCCACTCCCCCAGTTCTGCCCAGCAACTTTACCCTCCAGTGGAAACTTAGGACTCACGGGAGTTGCACTGGGCACCGAAGAATCCAGGTTTGCACCGACAGAGGCCTGGTTTCACACATACCTCATCTTTTCGGCAGGCGTCCACGCCCTCACAGATGGCTGAAAAACACCCCACCCATGTTGCAAGGACTGGGGTGCCATCAAGAGGGGTTCTCTCTTTCAGGCTCTTGGTCCCCTTGGGGCTGAGAACGGGTGTCACAGGGTGGCCCCTAGTTCTAGGGGAGGGAAAACAGGCCCCAGGAGGGTAGAAAGGAAGGGTCACTGGGCTTTGTTCTCCCCTCTCCTCCACGGGGGTCCATCTGGCTGGCTACTCACGGATCGTGCATTCTTGATCTTTCTGCCTCCAGCCTGGGCAACACTGGAGCTCAGCAGAAGTGCTGTGGGGTGGAGAGGGGTGAGCTGGGTGGGGTGGGGGCGGGTGCGGGTACAGCTTGACTCCTCAGGTATGGATCACTGTCCCTGGCTGAGATGCGGGAGGCTGTCTCAGCCCCATCAGGCAGGCCCAGCCAAGTGTCACAGCCCCAATGTCCCCAATCTCCTCTCTCCTTCCCTGACCTTCCCACTATTTGCCCTGACCACTCAATACCCTCCAGATTCTTCTCAAAGGACTCTCAAGTCCGCCGTCCCCTCAGTGCCATGAACCCTTCCACATACTCTTTCCCTCCAGTGCCACGTCAGTTCAATCACTTTCCCATAAGAATCCCACAGGACCCACCTGTTGGCCACGCAGACATGCTTCCCTTTGGGGTCCAACTTGGAGCCCTGCGTCCCCCCAGACCAGAACAGCAGCAGGAGCAGTATTCCCAGCCCCATGGCGACCTGTGCAGCTACAGCCGGAGGCTTGGGTTCCTCTGGCCCCCACTGATCCCAACCCCCTCCCTGCTTCCTCCCAAGGCTTTTCCTGAGGAAACCAGGCCTGAGGGGGCGGGCTGCCATGAGGCACCTCCCTGAGAGGGTGGTACAGAGAAGACCAAACACCACATAAATGAAAGGGAAATGCAAGTCAGTGGGGAGGCCCCAATCCCAGCTTAAGAGCTGGGCTTAATCTGGAGGGGGCAAAAAGAATGAAGCCGGAAGTCCCAGGGTTTTGGGGATAGGGGAGGGGAGAGGGTAAGGGCAAGAGCCATGGGGGAGCCATGTCTTTTCATTAGGTCACACTCCTAAAGGGCGGCAGGAGCTGGGAGAAGTCTCCCATCCAGTGACAACCACGAAGGGCAGACGTCAGCCTGCTGGCACTCCTGGCAGAGCTGAGTGGGGGCAGACCATGGACAGACAGACACGCAGCAGTTTCTGGGTATCACAGGAAGTTGTTTTATTACATTAGCTTAAGCCACCAACCCCTGGAGGCAGGTAGTGAGCTCTCCATTTCACAGAAGGGGAAAACCTGAGAGTCAGAGAGGAAGCACTTCGATCTGACTCAGAGGCTTGGGGTAGAGACAAGGAAGGTGGCTGGGCTCCCTAATATGCCCTGGCTCAGGTCAGGACTGGAAAGAGGCTGGGGCTAGGAAGGAGGGAGCAGCTCTGTCCTCACTTAAGGTCATATCCACCCACAGCCAGACTCCAAAGTCAGGCATCTGGGGCAGCTGAGACCCCAGACAAATGTTCATTGTGCACAGAGCAGGGCCCATCAAGAGTTGGGAGTTGTATGGCTGTCCACAGGCTCCAAGTGGGGGTGCTGTGGGACATCTTCTCTCCTTGGTATGCTGGGAGTTGTGCTGCTCTTCTCAGCTTCAGGGGCCTTCGCTTCACCCTGATACCACAGGCTAAAGCTGGGGGGAAAGCCAAGAGGTAGACTGAGCCTCAAAGCCAGAGTGAAAGAGGATATTGGCTATGAGCAAGGAGTGGTGGGGAAAGGGGTGTGGTAGGAAGAAAGGGCAGCATGCGGTAGTGGGGGTGTGAGGGGCCAGGGCTGGAGAAGCAGGAGGAGAGGAACGCTTGATGCACAGGACAGCAAGGCGAGAGTCACTGGAGGGGAAAGCGCATGCTGGAAAGAACCAAGATTGGCCCTCTATCATCCCTGCCGCCTTTGCCACCTTCTTCTCCCAACATACAAACTCTGTATTCTGGACTCAGGGGGTGGAGGGTGGTCTTCCTTATCACTGGAGAGCAGGAGCCATGAGTCATCTTCATCATCACTGAGACAGAGAGAGGAGACGTGAGGACCATTTGTCAAGATCCTGAGGGACAACGGGAGCCCAGCCTACATCTGGCCTATGTGCAGCCCTCAGGAACGGGCTGAGGAGGATAGAGCGAAGGCCGAAGAGAATGTGACCTGGGGAGATGAAGGACGGTTTGAAGCTTTTATTTTATAGTATGACAGACAATGGCCCCTGACAGGGCTGCAGCTATAGTCTTACCCCTCTAAGAACGAACAGAACCTGGCAAACCAAGATGTAACTTCGGAGAAGCTATTTCTTCAGCAGGCTAGATAGCAAGTGTGACAAGTGGGAGCAGTACAATCCAGAGAGAAGGGTGACTGGCTCGGAACAGCAGACTGGACGGCAGGCTGGAGGGGTGACCAGACCAGATTACCAGGCCCAGCCAGGGTGCTCAGCCAGAATGATAGGCTGGATCAAGCCAGACTGGACTGGAGAACAGGTAGGGGGTGCCGGTTGGAATGATGAGGCCAGAGTGGTTGGCTCAGTAGGGCAGGCTGGACAGCAGCAGCCTCAAGGGGTAACCAAATCAGAACAGGGCAGGCTGGATAGCAAGCTGTAGGGGTGACCAGGTCAGAGTGGCAGGCTCAGACAGGCACCAAGTTCGGGGGGTTACCAGGCCAGATTAGCAGGTTTAAGAAGTGACTAGCTTAGGGAGGCAGGCTCAAAGAGGTGACTAGGCTGGGGTAACAGAGATGAGCAGGCTGGGTCAGGAGGCTCAATGGTGTGACCATATTAGATCAGCAGATAGCAGGACTGGGTTAGCCATGACCAGGTGGGGTCAGCTGGCTTAGCAGAATGAGTGAAGGAGGGCTGGCTCACAGGGGATGAAGGCAGAGACTTACCTGCTCTTGGCTTCCTCTGGGGTCCCTAACATCTTGGCCTTGATCTTCTTCCGCTGCTTCTTGACAGCTACCTTCATGGCTTCAAGTAGAAGTCCAGGAACCCGGTGATCTGTGAGTAGCTCCCTATAGAGAAAGAGGAGCAGAGGAAGTAGTGGGGATGCCAACAGTAGAACCCCCACAACCTGTACATAAGGTGCCCCACCTTGTTTATTTAATTTATTTATTTACTTATTTATTTATTTATGCAAGCACTGGGTACAGTCCAGAAGTGTGGGAGTGTGAGAGAATTCACCAGAGCCAGAGCCGAGAGCAGAACATGCAGACTGACGAAGTACACTGCTGAGGGGAGCAGCGGGCACAGCAGGAGAGGTCTGCGTGCCATCTGGGACCCTCCCTGGAGGCCGGGGATCAAACCAACGCTGCAGAGGCTGCGGGCAGCTTCGCAGCAGCCCAGTGCTCAACCGCTGTGCCACTGGAGAGGCCCCCCCACCTTTTCAAAACACTCTGTCTTGCTAACACTCCTTAGACCTTAGCTAAATATTCCCTCCTAGGAATATTTCCTTGACCACTAGTGCTGTGACCCTTGCACTGTCTCTCTCCCCCATTTGGATGAAGCTCCAGGAGGGTTGTTTGATTCATGTCCTCCCTGAGCCCAGCACAGAGGCTGGCCCATGTCACTGTGGATAAATAAATGAACCAAAGACTATGATGGGTGGCCTGAGGCCCAGAAGCAGGTGTGAATGAAGCCCCCTCAGCTTCCCCCAGCCCAGGCTGGGGACCCTCACCGCTGGAAGTAGGCCAACTCCTCCTTCAGCAGGAACACATTGGCTTTGAGCTCATTCCGCTCCCGAAGGATCTGCTGAAGCTCCTGTCGACTGAAGTCGCACTGCACTGCCTTGGAGGGGCATCCTGGCTGCTGGGCATCCACCTGCGGAAGGACAGACTTGGGTGGCCTCTACTGGCGCTCCCCTGCCTGCAGGCCATCACGGGAACAAGAGGCAGTCGCTGGAAGGGAGACTGCAGTAGATCCGTAATCCGGTTAAGAGTCGGGGTAGAGGCCGGCTGGGGGCTCAAACTTGCTTCAAAAGAGCAAACCTTTCCGGAATACCCACCAAATCACAGGCGCTGTGAATACCGGGCTGAGCCCCTGACCTCATCCTCGTCTGCACTCACCGGGTCTTCAGGAGACCTAGGGGTTCTTGCGCCTGCGGGCTCGGGTGCGCCCCCCGGCTCCGGCGCCCCTCGGCGCGGCAGCTCTCGCTCCCTCTCGCGGTCACGCGCGGAGCGCAGCTGGGTTTCCACGGCCGCCAGTTTGTGCCGCAACTCCGTGTTCACCAGTAGGAGGCGCTGCAGCTGCTCCTGTAGCTGGGGGCGGAGCAAAGGGCGGGCTGTTGGGCGGGGCGCCGATGGCCGGGGGCGCCCCGCCCGGCGCCGCGCTCTGCACCGCCTGCCCTCACCGCCTCGGTCTCCTGGCTCCGCTGAAGCAGGTCGCGGCTGTGCGCCCGGAGTTCGTCCCGCTGTCTGTCGGTCACCTCCTTGAGCCGCCGCAGCAGAGCGCGCTCCTCTGAGGGAGGGTGGTTCTTAGTGGCGGCCTCGCGCCGGGGGAGCCGGCCCCCGACCCGCCGCATCCTGGCCGGGCCTGCGCTCACCTTGCGGCCCGGCGCGCAGCTCCCTGCGGAGGTGCTCGTTTTCCTCCCGCAGACGCCGCAGCTCCACCTCGGCCTGCTGCGCCGACACCTGCAGCTGGGGAGTCCAGGCCCTCAAGGTTAGGTCCCCAGCGGCCCCACGGGTGGCCGGGGAGGGGGCCGTGGCTCACCGAGTCAGGGGCGGGCCCCACAGCAGCCTTTTCCAGCAACTCCAGCGCCCTCACCACCAGCGGCACCAGCCCGGCTGCCGCCTCCGGCCCGAAGCGGCGCGCCAGCTCTTGTAGCTCAGTGCCCAGGGCCCCCGCTAGGTGATACACAAGCTCCGCCGCCGTCCCTGACCCCGCCGCCACTCGGGACCCCAGGCCCTGAGCCCCCGGCGCCATCCTCCTGGGCTCCATGTCCCCCGAAAGCCTAGGGTGGCACCAACCCCCACCCCCGCCCCCGCTCCGGCTGGGACAGGAAAAAAAACCAAACAGTTCCCGCCCAGGAAGCAGTTTAGGGTAGAAGGCGGGGTAGAAGCCACGTGGGAGGAGCGATTAGGGGGAAAGGCAGGGAAAGACCATGCCCTAGGCCTCCTAGGTCCAGTCCCATTCAAGCCCCCAAGGTCACAGGAAATAGGACGGTAAACTTCCAGCCAGATATCCAGGAGCCAGGCTCAGGGCTGTAAGTGGCCACTTTCACCAGGCCCTCCCCACACAGTGCCCAATCCAGGCGCCACCCGCGCCTGTAGTCATGAGCACGATTTGGCGGAGAAATACTTGAGGGGAAAGGTGAGACTTAGGCAGCTGCTACTGCCCTCTGAGAGGCGGTCAACCGATTCAGCTATGTTCCTGTTCCCTCCCAGAAGTGCCACAGAACTTAAGGGGCTAGGCTGGGGGGCCACAGAACAAGCCACAGAACTTCCAAGACTCACAAAAACCAAAACCAAAACCAAACCAAACAACAAAAAACCCCTGGCAAATGTTGCAAGATATTGAAGAGGGGGCAATGTTTTCCAAGTATGCTGTAGGGAAATTAGCAGGTGAGGTCAAACAGTAAGAGTCAAAGTCCATGTCCCAGCCCTGTAGTTCCTAAATCTAGGGACTATTTAGCTCTATTGCCCCAGTCAAGAGTGAGCCCAGCACCTTATGGTGAATAAGTTCAGCCTCCTGCCATCCCTACACCCAGAATTTGAGCTCGGGGGAAAAAAAACTCAAACACTTGTATTTATACAAAATTTATTATTACTTTGTTCACGGTTACAAGATACAAGGTCAACATCACAAGCACAAAATAGGAAAAAGGACCACGCTGCTGAATGTCACCAGCTTGTCTGCGGGGGCAAGAGGCTCCAGCCTTTAGGGAGTCTGAAGCAGAACTAGGCATAGAGGTCCTCCCGGTCCGCAGAGTAAACCTCTCCCTCCTGCAGGAGGGCAAAGTTAAGGAAGTGGGAAGGCCTGTGCACCTCGTGGTAGAACTCTTTGGGGTTTGCCAGCTGCAGTTCATACTTCATATTGGGATCATGCCGAACACCTTGGGGTAGAAGGAAAGATCCAGTGTTAGTAAGGTCTACCTTCCTCACCCATTCTTGGCCCTGGGGCCATCTCTGAACCAGAGTTGCGCCCTAAGTGCTCAAAGTGACGGTCTAACCCGCCCCCACTTCTGTGTATTCCACCACTTACCCATGAAGTTGTAGTTCCACGAGGACTGGGCAGGAACCATAAAGAAACCAAGGAAGCGGTCTGACAACAGCATCTGGACCCTCTCATAGTGCGAGGGTAGGTAGCCCTTAGGGTTGTTGCCTTTGTCTGTGTTCTGGCGGCCCCATTCATAGCCACTAGGGGTTAGCTTGTAGGCTGTCAAAGTGCAGGAGCCAGGTGTGAAGCTGGAAGAGGAATGAGGAGAGTGTCAGCTCACAACACCATCTGAGCCTGCAATGCCTACCCCAATATACTTCCTCCCAAGTGCGCCCACGCCAACCTGCAGGTGATGATAATGGTCTTCTCGCCATCCCAAGACGGGTTGTCAGCCATGATCTTGGCATGGGTGGTGACATCCTGGGGTGACAGTTGTGGGGACTCATTGGGCTGAGTGTGGATCCAACCTAAGGGTTCCATCTCCTATAAGCAAAGAGGAGTAAAAAGCTATTTAGTGCCCCGTCTATAGACAGGAATCCTACCCTAAGTGTAATATGCCCCTGTCATCACCAAGTCACCACTGTCCCTAAGCTTTATCATCACTGACCTTGAGGTACTCATGCTGAGGCAGCTGGCCAGGCAGGTGCACAGTCTGGTGAGTGCCCCACTGTGGTACCATGACAATGCAGCGAATCTCCTTCACCTGGGGGTTATCTGGTGGACTCACGCCATACAAGTATCCTGCAATCTAGATGCAAGGGAGTCAAGAACCAAAATAATTCTCAGTATCAGTCCAGACGTAAGCTGTCAGGTGTTTCCTTTCCTTCCCCAAAAGCGAGGACAGAGTTCCTCAAAGTGTCAGCATCATCGCCTGGGGCACTTTTACAAAATGTTAAAACATGGACCTCATATCTCAGTCTTATATCAGAATCTCAAGTGAAGTCCTAGAATTGGCACTGCACACGTTTCCCAATTGATTATAACATCCATAAACAAACTGATCACTCAGTGAATTTTAAGAATTTAAATATTAAATGTAAAACTCACACAGGTCATTACATTAACAAGCTTAATTTTTTTTTTTTAAAGATTTATTTACTTATTTATACAAGCACTGGGTACAGTCAGAAGCGCGGGAGGGTGAGAGAATTCACCAGAGCCAGAGCAGGGAGCAGAACAGGTAGAATGACAAAATACACTGCTGAAGGGAGCAGCAGGCACGGCAGGAGAGGTCTGCATGCCATGTGGGACCCTCCCTGGTGGTCAGGGAAAGAACCGGAGCTGCAGAGGCTGCGGGCAGCTTCGCAGCCCAGCGCTCAACCGCTGCGCCACCGGGGAGGCCCAGCAAGCTTAAATTCTTGAGTTACAAATTGGTATTTTTAAAAATATGAATGTCCCAGATTAGTAGTAAAGTATCTTTTTTTTTACAATATTTGCCATCTGTAATTGCTTTTTTGAATTACCTTCTTCTTTGACATTCTTCTACACTTACCCTGTTTTTGTTTTTTAAAAGATTTATTTATTTATGCATACAAGAACTGGGGTATAGGCCAGAGGTGTAGGGGGGTGAGAGGATTCACCAGAGACAGAGTGCGGAACACAACAAGGGGACTGACCAAAACACACTGCTGAGGGGAGCAGTGGGTGAGTCAGGAGAGGTCTGTTGCACCAGGGCAGCTCCCTGGCTGGGAATTGAACTCGTGCTGCAGTGGCTGCGGACAGCCTCATAGGTTGCATCCCAACCCCTTGCGCCACCAGAGAGGCCCTGTTTTTGTTTTTTAAAGATTTATTTATGCATAGAAAAACTGGGGTGTAGGCCAGAAGTGCAATGGGTGAGGGGGGGTTTGAGAGGATTCACCAGAGACAGGTGGGTAGCAGTACAGGTGGATTTACTGAAATATGCTGCTGAGGGGAGCAGTGGACAAGACATGAGAGGTCTGCTGCACCATATGCGGTTGAGCTCACTGGCTAGGGATGGAATTCAGGATGTAGTGGTGATAGCACTGAGACTCAACCCCTACACCACAAGGGAGGCCTTATACTAACCTTGTTTTTAAAAGTCAACTTCTGGGCCTCCCTGGTGGCGCAAGGGGTTGAGCGTCAGCACTATGAAGCTATCCATAACTACTGCACCACGAGTTCAATCCCCGGCCAGGAAGGTGACCCACATAGCACAGCAGACCTCTCCTGTTTCGCCCACTGCTCCGCTCAGCAGTGTATTTCATTAGATCTGCCTGTTTTGCTCCCCACTGTGTCTCTGGTGACTCCTCTCACCCCCGCACCTCTGGCCTATACCCCAGTTCTTGTATGCATAAATAAATAAATCTTTTTTTTTAAAAAAAGTCAACTTCTGAGGATTCCCTATTCTAGATGCTAATCCATTATTTTAGAATTACATATTTTCTTCCTGATTTTAGGTTTTTTTTTTTAATATTTATTTATGCATACAAGAACTGGTGTACAGGCCAGAGGTACAGGGGGTGAAAGGATTCACCAGAGACAAAGCAGGGAACAGAACAGGCAGACTGAAATACACTGCTGAGGGGAGCAGCGGGCGAGCCAGGAGAGGTCTGCTGCGCCACGTGGGTATCTCCCTGGTGGGGAATCGAACTCATGCTGCAGAGGGTGCCAAGAGCCTCACAGGTTGCATCTCAACCTCCTGCACCACCAGGGAGGCCCGATTTTAGGGTTTTTTTGGTAGTACTTTGTCTTACTCAAGTTATTTTGCCTATGGCTCTGTTTTCCTTTTTCTAAAGATTTATTTATTTATGCATATAAGAACTGGGGTACAGGGGGATACAGGCCAAAGGTGTGTGTGCGGGGGGGTGAGAGGATTCACCAGAGTCAGAGTGGGGAACAGAACAGGCAGACTGAATGAAATACACTGCTGAGGAAATCAGGTGAGACAGGAGAGGTCTGCTATGCCATGTGGGTAGCTCCCTGGCAGGCCAGGGATCAAACTTGTGCTGCAGAGTCTGTAGACTGCTTCACAGTGCTGTGTTTAACCCCTTGCGCCACCGGGGAGGACCTATGGCTTTGTGTTTTCTATTAAAAAGGGTTTTCCAGGGCCTCCTAGGAGGCACAGGGGTTAAGTCTCAGTGCTACTGCCAGCCACTGCAGCATGAGTTTGATTCCCAGCCAGGGAGCTAACCCACATATGGCGCAACAGGACTCTCCGGTCTCACCCGCTGCTCTCCTCAGCAGTGAATTTCAGTAAATCTGCTTTTCTGCTCCTCACTCTCTCAGGTGAATCCTCTCACCCCTATACCTATGGCCTACACCCCAGCTCATTTATACACACACACACACACACACACACACACACACAAAAATCATTTGAAAAAAAAGGGTTTTCCCCTAAGTTAAAGTCAAGCATCTTCTCATATATTCTATAGTTTAATATTTTACACCCAGATCTTTATCTAGATTTTTGTAAGTGGTATAAGATAGGGGTCTACCCTTCTTTTCCTATTTGAATATTGTAAAGCATCCCTTTTTTAAAAAAAAGATTTGTATTTATTTACGCATACAAGAACTGGGGCGTAGGCAGAAGGTGCGGGGGTGAAGATTCACCAGAGACAGAGTGGGGAGCAGAACAGGCAGATCTACTGAAATACACTGCTGAGGGCAACAGTGGGCAAGACAGGAGAGGTTTGCTGTACCATGTGGGTTAGCTCCCTGGCTGGGGATCGAAGGCCTGTAGCAATGGCTGGCAATAGCTTGATAGCACTGAGGCTTTAACCCCTGCACCACCAGGGAGGCCCCATGTAAGGCATCCTTAA